CTGATCTCAGCTAGCATTGCTCCTGGAAACCCCGACTTCCCAAAGAAAAGGAGGATGCAGTTTGGAGCAGGAGACCTGCTAGGGACTCTGGTATTCTAGTCTATCTGCAATGCAGGCTATGTTACAATAGGGGCTGTGCTGTGGACTTAGAAATGAACCAGTGACATGATATTCTGAGCCTTATCTGCATGTAGTTCCTTTCTAGGCAAAATGCACATATATCTAATCCCCTGCTCTTTTCCCTCAGGTGCTGCCTCTATCCCTCTCCTCCCAGAGCACACCTACACACACACCCCCTCCCATGCCTGGCTCTTCTGTCCTTCTCTGGCATAGCTCAGCATCAACCCTTTCAAGTCCTTGTGAATCCTGCAGATCAAGGGGCTACTAGTTTCCCCTGCCATCTCCTTGCTTACCTCCCTCTGGGCTCCCTACCCCCAGGAACATAGGGAGCCTTATCAAAGGACATTATTTATATCAGACCTTTACTCAAAGCTCTCCGACAGGGAGAGGAAGAAGGGGAGAAGAAAGGAGGAATGAGAGAAACACAAGCAGGACCTAAGAGTCTTTGCTACCAAACCTGAACTGCCTCTACCCATCTCAAGCCCCCTTGCCCCCAAAGTGCCATTACCAAACAGGAAACATCGATTAAATTTTTTTATTTTTCTTTTTTTTGCTACATTTTGAGTTCCAAGTCGTCTCCTCCCCTCCCTCCCAACCTTACATTAGAGGTCAATATTTTATGTGTGGGTGTATATGTGTGTGTGTGTATGTGTATATACATGTATATATGTGTGTGTGTGTGTATGTATATATAATATACATATATGTGGAACCATACAATATATACTTCCATATATCAGTTCTTTTCTCTGGAGGTAGATAGTATTATCCTTGATAAGTCCTTAGTAGTTGATTTGAATATTCATATTACTCAGAATAACTTAATCATTCACAGTTACTCTTTGAACAGTATTGCTGCTACTGTATACTACATTCACTTGATTCTGCTCATTTCACTCTTCATTATTTCATGCAAGTCTTTCCACATTTTTCTAAAATCAACCTGTTCATCATTTCTTACAGCACAGCAATACTCAATCACAATCATATACCACAACTTATTCAGCCATTCCCCAATTAATGGACATTCCCTCAATTTCCATTTCTTTGCCACCACAGAGAGAACTGCTATAAATATTTTAGAACACATAGGTTCTTTTCCTTTTCCCCCAATCACCTTGGGAAAAACACCTAATAAGGGTATTGCTAGGTCAAAGAGTGTCACACAATTTTATAACTCTTTGAGCTTTAGTCCAGATTGCTCTCCAAAATGGTTAGATAAGTTTACAGTTCTACCAACAATGTATTAGTGCCCCAATTTTTCCACTTTGCTCCAACATTTGTCATTTTCCCCTTCTATTATTTTAGCCACTCTGATAAGTATGAGATATTATCTCAAAGTTGTTTTAATTTTCATTTCTCTAATCAATAATGATTTAGAGCATTTTTTCATATGACCATATGTAGTTTTGATTTCTTCTTCCAAAAACTGCCTGTTCATATCCTTTGACCATTTGTCATTGAGGAATAACTCATATTCTTATAAGTTTGACTCAATTCTCTATACATTTGAGATACGAGGCCTTTCTCTGAGAAACTGTCTATTAATTTTTCCCCCTAGTTTTCTACTTTCCTTCTAATCTTGGCTACATTGGTTTTATTTGTACAAACCCTTTTTAATTTAATGTAATCAAAATTATCCATTTTATATCCTATAATCTCTCTGTTTATCATTTATTCATAAATTCTTCTTCTATCCATAAATCCATGTTCTTCTAATTTACTTTCATATGTATATATATATATATATATATGTCTAGGTTAAATATCCATTTTGGACATATCTTGGTAAATGGTGTAAGATATTGGTCTATATTTAATTTCCGCCAGATTGCTTTCTAATTTTCCCAGCAATTTGCTTTCTAATTTTCCCAGCAATTTTTTTTTACCAAATAATATGTTTTTATCCCTAAAACTTGGATCTTTATCAAACACCAGGCTATTATAATCATTTACTACTGTGTATTTTTTTTCTTTGTTTTTGGCGAGGCAATGGGGTGAAGTGACTTGCCCAGGGTCACACAGTTATCAAATGTCAAGTGTCTGATGTCATATATGAACTCAGGTCTTCCTGAATCCACGGCTGGTGCTCTATCTACTACGCCATCTAGCTACCCCTTACTACTGTGTATTGTATTTAGTACTGTGTACTCTATTCCACTGGTTCACTATTCTATTTGTTATCCAGTGCCAAATAGTTTTAATTTTTTAAAATAAAATTTTATTTTAAAAAATTACCAAGCATTTTTCCTCACCTATCCACACCACTCTCCACTGAGGGGTGGGGGGAACCCTTTAACAAATAGAACATGGATTTTTAAACATTGCCTTAGCTTTACACTCTGAAATAAATCAATAATCCATTGGTCTATTTGGCATTTTATTTGTATGAACAACCTACACTGCCCTTCTCTCAATGTCTACCTTCTTCCTCCCGGCTCCTGCCTCTAAGTACCCAAGAATCTTTATGGCTCTCCCTTCATGCTTTTTTCACCAGCCCGTTCCTTTTCCTTCAGGGTGCACCCAGTTCAGTAATTAGCTGAGCTTTTAAAGGGGCCTCATTAGGCTTGTGCATAATTAAGGGGTCTGGGGAACCAGCTGCTGCCCACGCTCTGGTCCAGGGGTTCTCAACCCTTTTGGTGTTATGGACTTTTTTGGCAGTCTTGTTAAGCCTATAGATCCCTTCTCAAAAAATTGTGTTGTTTAAAAAAAATCATAATTGAAGTAGATACTATATTTCAGTTAGATTTTAGTGAAAATAAAGATATAAGTTGATGGACCCTCTGAAATCTATCTGTGAACCCCTTGAGCATCCTCAGATCCTAGGTTAAGAACCTCTACTTTGGGTAGAAGTAGCTTCTCTCTATTGTCTGAAATGCCAGCTCCAAAAGAAAGGGAGCAAAAGACAAAAGGTTGGGGAGGGACTCTAATGCAGGATAATTAAGATAAGACAGATCCAAGGATAAAACAAGAGAGGCCGGCTCAGTCTTCTTCTCTTGCTTTCTTTCAATCCCAGGGGAGAAGGGCAAGGTAGCTGGTTACCCCAGCTGTGTTACTCTCAAGCCTCTGGCTGAAACTTGCTGGTTACTAATATCTATCTTTTTCTACGTGTATTTATCCTTATCTCCACTCTATTTTCTGACTGTCTGTCTGCCTCTCTCTGTTTCCATCTCTGTCTCTTTGTCACTCCTCTCTCTTTCTCTGTCTCTTTGTCATTCCTCTCTGTCTCTGTTTCTCTCTCTCTCTCTCTCTCTCTCTCTCTCTCTCTCTTTCTCCCCATCTTTGTCTCTCTGTGTCTCCATCTGTCTCTTTCTATCTCCATCTCTGTCTCTTTGTCACTCCTCTCTCTTTCTCTGTCTCTGTCACTCCTCTCTGTCTTTGTCTTTTTCCTGTCTCTCCCTCCTTTCTCTGTCTCCTTCCCCCCCCCCCCCCCCATCTCCTCTCCTCTCCCTCTCTGTCTCTCCTGGGGCTTCAAGAGGGATAAATGAAGCAGAATAAGCTCCCCCTAATAGTAGGGGGACAGAACATGGTGGTTAAAAGGTTACAGGAGAAGATGACATAACTTCAGGGAAGCAGATTAGACAGGGGAAAAAAGCCCTGAAACAAAGGAAAAAAGCAGAGCTATTAAGAGATCAATCCTGTGGCATGGCGGGGGTGGTAGGGACAGACTAGGAGTCATGTTCTTTTATTCTCTATTTCTAGTGAGACTGCAGCAGGAGGGATAAAGGTTAGACTACAGCAAGAACTTTTCTATAATCAGTAACACCCATGGTAAGAGACAGGAAGCCCAGGAGATCTCCCTGTCCTCAAAAGACCCTTGAGTAATGAGATGGGACATGACAAATGGATTTCTGGATCTGGAAGCAGGCTCAGAGATGGATTAATCATATAATCATACATTTAGAGCTGGAAGGGACATCACAACTCCTCTAGACTAACTCCCTTATTTTACAAGTGAGGAAGTTTAGGCCACAGGCGTTGATTTAGATTTACATGAAAAGACTAATATGGCTGGCTTACATCATAAGCATTTGCATGGGGAACTATTTAGGAGAGGGAGAGAGAAAACCCACCAAACCAATCTCTTTATCTGGTCCTGGAGGCTCTCCTTATCATGCCTCCTTATCTCTACCGATCCTAATCTGATCCTGGATCCCAGCTCAGAAGCTGAGGGGATATAGCAAAGGATAGGTCTGTCCCAGAGTCCTAACAGTAACGGCATCTTCAAATTGTCCCAGTGTAACACGGGCTATCTGTGCAAAGGGCCAGAGTAGACGCTGACTGTGTATTCCACAGAGATGCTTCAGGGGTGCCTGAATAGGAGTTTATCAGACTGGCCAACCTAACTAATGGATAAAGGGGCAAAGGGGGGTGGTGGTGCTGGAGGAGAGCAGAGACTGGAGAATTATGGAGAGAGGAGATCCTCTAAGGGATTCTGTGGAGATAAGGGCAAAGGTGAAGGGACTGACCGCATTTGTACTTATTGACATATCATCAGTATATTCTACATCAAACCACCTACAAATAAATAAATACTTATTTTCTAAGTGCCTTGTTCAGGCACTCTTGGGAAGGTGGCATTAGCACTGGGCTGGGCGTCTGGTAGGTTTTTCTGTGTTCTCAGGGTTTCTGGCTGCAACGTTTTCCTCCCTGCCTCCCCACCCCCACCCCAGCTCCCCAATCTCCCCCCTCTTCTATCCACCCCAGGATTGGTGGCTCTTGGCCCCTCCCCTTAGCCCCTCCACCCCCCCAGACCCTCCCAAAGTCCTTATCAGGGAGCAGGGACTGAGTCTCTGCCAGATCCAAGATCCCCTCTCCCTTCAGCAGCAGCCACTAAAGCATCCTTGTGGAAACTGGGAAGCAGGACCCTCAGACCCACAGATCCCAAGCCTCCATATCTTACCAGGAGTGAACTCCAGGTAGGTGTGATGGGAAAAGGAGGTAAAATAGGTCAGAGGAAAAAGGGTATGGGAATAGATGTATATGAGAAGTGGGCATTGAGACTAAGAGACAGGTTTTACTGATGGGGTCCAGAGTCAAGAGGAAGGGACTCTGGGAAATGGAAGTTGATACTAAAGGCAAGGGACTGGGCAAATGGGCAAGAGTGTGTGTGTTATGGGGGGTGGGTTCTGTTGGTCAATGTCGGGGGACTAAAGGTTCACCCTCCATTTTCTCCAACTGGAAAGTTTCTCTGTTGGGGAACTATTGGCCATTTAGGACCCTTCCATGGGAGTAAGCAAGGGGCATAGTTCCTTCCTTCATTTACAGCTGCCTTCTCTTCCTAGGGAAGGACTTGTTCTCAGCCCAATGGTTTGCTCCTGTCAGAACCATATTTTGGGGAGGTGAAAGATAATAACCCATGATGGGCAGGGAAATTAAAGCAAAGAGTTTCAACATCTGCACTGAGGCCACCTTCCTTCTCTCCTCTTCCCTATCATGGAGTCTTGGGCTGGAGTGAGGAGCAGACTCACACATGCTCTTTAGCACATACCAGTTCATGACACATAATCACCTGTGTTGCTTCTGTACTTAGTATCTATCGTGAACGTGAGATGTGCTCTGACTGGGAATCATGGAAGGGCTCTCCCCTTCCTTACCCCATGACCAAGGCTTACCATCTTTGCCCTCTAGGCACCATGAGAAGTACACTGCTGCTCATGGCTATCCTGGTCCTGGGTGTCGGAAGGAGCTGCCAAGCTGTCTGTGAGGAATCACAGGAACAAGGGGCATTTGGTGGGGGTCACAGCAAGGTAAGACTTTACCCCCTTTACCTCCATAGAGCCAGATTTTCCCTTAGTTATAACATTCCTTCAGTTCCAGGGGCAAGAAGGAAAGGAGTGTGTGTGTGTGTGTGTGTGTGTGTGTATTGAATTGGACATGTATAGCTCTCTTCATGTCTCTGTGTGTTTGTGTAGGTGTGTGTGTGCAAGAAAGTACATCTCTGTTTATCACTGTATCTGTATCTCATTTAATAATAACTTAATAGTAACTACTCAGAAATACTTGTTGATTGATTAATATTGATTGAATGGTGCTGTTGGGGGTGGGGGGAGTGAGATACAGGTCAGGAGAGAATACTTACTGATTCTTTCCCATAGCTCAGTCCCTGGTCGGATGATCAAAGCCCTGGTAAAACACCAGAATCCTTGTTCCCAAAATAATCAATGATCATTTGCATGCTACTTTGCACATAAATGTCACACTCATTTAATGATTGAAATGCAAAGAAATTCTTTAACTGTCCCTCTTTCCCCCTCTCTCCACACCCCAGTACCCCCCCTTAGGAACCCAGCCCCTTCTCCTCCTCTCCCAGTGATCCCTCCTCAACCCTTTAACTCAGGATTTCTCAGACTAGGTTGCCCCACCATAGAAAAACAACAGGTTGGGCTTTGATTTCCAAAGTTCCTCCTGGGAAGAGGATGGGAAGTGGTTGGGGAGGGAGGAGGAAGGAGAAGATGAGTCTTTTCAGAGTTTTGAAATGACAGCAATTACATTGGCACAAATGCTTTTAAGATGATTACAGGTGGGATTTATTATAAATTCTGTATGTGTGAGAAATCTAAGCTGCTTTTCTAGCCCAAGTCTGCTTAGCATCTCATTACAGAGGTTGAGAAGACTATTTGAGTAATTTGGGAAAAGCGGCCTCCCCAGGAGGTGGGAGCTAGACATAAAAA